CTGGAAAATATTGCAGATACACTATAAAAATGACTGTTTCTTTCAGTTGTCTACACAGTGAGGCTAGGGAGCCAGCTCAGCCATGGACAGGTACATTGTGAATAACTAAATTTTAGTGAGGATGAATCCCACTCTATATCTCAACAGTTCCTTCCCATACAGGGTTGTATACATGTTACATGAATTAAGCAATTATACTTTACCTTCATTTGACTTTCATAATAAAGGATAATTTACACTAAGAGAAAAATATTCTTTACACTAAGAGAAAAATATTCTGTCTTAATTCTCCTCCTCTCAAAGGTCCCTTCTATTTTTGCCTTAAGTGAACTGTCACCTGTTCTAAGATCCTATGTGGACTGGGTTTTTTTCCCCAGTTTTTAGTAGAAGGTGAATGAGCAAGGACTTGCCCATTACTTTCCTTTGAACTTGAATTGTTGAACTACTGCGGAAAGGTGGGCACTCTATTGCAACCCTGTACTAAAATGCATATAACTTGTTCCATCCAGGAAAACCTTAAGTCCATAAACCATGGAAATAAATATAATTTCACATCCATATATATAAATTTTACCTACATCTTGTGGCAAATACAGGTATCTTGGTAACAAATCCGTGAAGATACACTTATTTGGAAAAAGTCATTCAAATTCCACTGAAAAAGAATAAAGGAATGCATGACACTTGCTCTGGATGGTGATTGATGAAGAATATATTTTAATGACTAAATTTCTATGAACTATTTTCTTCTAGAGACAAATAAGAAATGAGCAATCACCAGGAACTGTCAGAAGTTTATGCCTGTGAGAAATCCTCTTGAGAGGGTCTATTGTACATAAAGTTAGGTATGTGTGAAAGTGTCTGCTTGTTTGGGACAAGAGAGTAAGAATATTCCCTGCTCCCCTAGGGTAGTACACCTTATACTGAAGCCATTCAGACTTGACAGTTTTTGTCAAGTTTATTCCACAACATGCTAACAGCAATTTACTAGCTGCCATATTATGTCTGTCTTAAAAGTATCTGGGAAGCTTGCTCTGATCTTTACAGCTACACAGAAAAGTATTGATGAAGAGACTTAATTTGCCAGTCTTGTCAGTGTTTGTGTCAGTATTTATCTCTCTGTATATGTATATACAGGTGAAATGATGGAACACTCTAGTGTGTCTTTAGGCTATGATATATAGAAAAATTATGTTAGTGTTTGTGTATAAAAGACTTTTTTTTTAGTCCTGTGTGAATAATACACATTCTGGAGTAGTCTTGTAGGTGTGTAGATCTTTCTAACACATCATACTTCCTTTTATTTTGAAAAGGCTCAAAGAGATTCTGTTGACGTTCGGGTTTTATCATTGGCCTGCCTGCTTGGATCTGTGGAATTGCATAGTATTATTTATACCCATGAAGAGTGTTATACTTTGGGTAATTTTTTTTTTTTTAACAAACATAATTTGTTGTCAGGGAAACTCGAGTCCTGAGTATATATGTTTATGATCCATGTCCTGTGCTCATGGTGAGATTTTTCTTATTGCCAGTTGAGAAGATGCAGATTATACCATGTTGAAATGCAAGTCTATCATCTCTGTGGATGCCAATGCTAAGGAGCTTGCATTGCTCACAGTGACAGTGTTGCTAGACTGTGCAAGGATAGACAGGCGGAAAATAAAGCTCTGACACCAATCTTGGTTTCTTTTTAATATAGGAAAAGAGAAGGCAACTTGCGGTTTTTAGGGGATTGTCTTAGCAACTATGTTGGCACTTTTTATGAGCCCCTAGGACAGTGCAGTTGTGCACTGGCCCCTTATAGAAACAAGTGGCTGTCTGCCATGATCAACCCTGTGATATATATACCCGTAAAGCTCACATGATCAGAAGAATGGAAAACTGCTATTACAGGAAAAGCTAAATGGATCTCAGGCTTTAAATTTATGAAGTGCTAGATATCTGAAATGGAGCTGCTGCCAAAAACTGGGTATTTTTCACTTAGAAGAATGGAAAAATGTCAGGATTTTACTGGTCTGACCGGGGAGAAAAAGGTAGTACTTGGGAAGTACTTTATAGTTGGGTTTTTTGTTTTTTCTGTTTTTTTTTTTTTTTCCGACACTGACCTATCAGTCGAATCAGTGATTAGAACTGTTTCATAAAAATGGATGTTTATTTTCCAGTTGAAAACACTTACCCTGTATTGATTTACATAATTGAAATCATATGTTTTCCTGCAAGGATAATTATGCATGTTGAAGTGTTGATTAGCCTGTAATGAGATTTAGACATCAAGCTACTTCTTTACAGCTCCATTATCATTGGCCTGAGATCCCTGCCATGTATGCCAGGGCTGAGAAGCTGACTAAGAAATAAATGTGTGTATTATTTTCTTTGTTAAATGAGTGAATAAGCCTGTCACTGCTTGGTGAAGATGGCAGCTTTTCATGTGGGCAGGTATTCAAGTTGCCAGCACATCAAGAACAAACCTATGTCTGAAACACCACATCCCCGATTTTGAAAATCGAGACAAACTTTTCTGCTCTGGGGAAGACAAATCCTCCCAGCACTTTATTCAACATAATGAAAAACTTACCTGCGTTTTGTAAGACAAGGATTCCTGGCTTGCATCTTCCCAAGACCTAGAACAGTGCAGGTTCTGAGCACATAGAGGCTTTAACAAACCTCCACCAAATTAATCTATTTAGTTCAGTACTTGTCATCAGTGTTCGTGTGTAATTTTTTAAACCATCTATTTTAGTAACCAGCTATCTTACAGCAACATGCAGGGAAGCTATCAGATTTCATTTTAATTGCATTTGCATTCAGCCAGATGGCAAAAATCTAGTGATCAGTGATATTCTTTAACATTTAAATCAGCATTGCCCAATATGCCTTTACAATCAGACTCTCCTTTCTGATCACTTGGTTTTGTAAAAATGTAGCTATTCTGGATCTATTGAGAACAGTTGTGATTCGGAAATAACCAAGACAACTATTTGTCTTCAAAAGTGCTTGGAAACACAAGAGCATAACTAGTAAAGACTAATATACAGGTGAAAATCTGCTCAATTTCAACAAAAAATGAAGTGAAAACCAATTCCCATGGTAAAAGAGAAAATAAAGAAAACAGACCGGACTGGGACATGCTTCTTGTGTAGCTTCATATTCTTCATGACTACTAAATCTCTGTAGGAATGGTGTAATACAGTACTTTCTTTTTCCTTAAAACTTCCATCATGCCCTGTTTTCTCTCTGCAAGAGTTGTATTAATCCTAGAGATAGTGGTTTGGCTGGTGTCTGAGGACCTTGATCATAATCTTTGCTAATTCACAAGATATGAATGGTTAATTGCTAAAAATTGATTATATGGCCTGTGTTTGAGAGAGAATAGAAAGAATTTGCCTTTTACCTATTATTTCACCCATGCTGTCTATGCATCTATAATTTTTACATGCTAATGCCTAAGAATTTAGCTAGAAAGAGTCTCCCTTATGACAAGTATTGTAAGAAGTCTGGCTGTGGATGAGTTTTGCTCAAGAGAGGTTGAGGCTAGCCTCTATTAAACCATCTGAGACACCGTCTACATGCTAATGACTATATGATAAGATGCATACAAATTTGCCTGTCTCTACACATGTATACCTGAAGAAAAGCTACTTAATAGGCAAATGTGGTCCTCTGTTTTATATAAGCTCTTAAAAGGGACTTGGAACCTTTGAAAGTTTTTCACAAAAGAAAAATCACTTTAAAGAAACTGTTGTGACAATTGAGTATAATCTCTAATCCAGAAAAAGTATAAATCAATAATGTCTCTTCTCTCTTCAGACTTTGTTATTAGGACGTTGGGTGGAAAAAGGTACCTATTAAGGTATGGAAGAGTTAGCTATGAAGATATTAATACAGATAGACACAGGCTAACATGATCTGTATACCAGTTTGTGTTTGAATGGCAAATTTGTGAACACATAGAATTCCTTAAGCTACTCAGAAGTGTGAGCTGAGCAATATCTGTGATTTGAATATTGACTCAACTGGAGAATGATGTGTCTTCAGTATTACAAACTTTGGTAGAGAAGATGGCAATTTGCTTTTATCATAATTGAAGGCAATGTAATTATGAAATCTTATCACAGTAGTGTTTTTTTAAAAGTCATATGAATCATCAAAAAAAACAAATTAAATTCAGTACTTGGACACAAATATGATGCGCTAAAACATCAACTACAGTAACATAATATAGCAAAACATGATCAGCAGCTGAACCCATAAAATCTGACTGGATGATACAAAGGTCAATTGACAAGATGCATCAGCTTTGAATCAAAATGTGATTAGGAAAATTTAATACCTTTTAGCCTCTTACTGACCGTGTTCTGAAGTGCATTACTGGGCCTTGGCATGGAGCACCCAGTGACACAGGGGCAGGTGTAAACAAATTGTGCCCAGTGTCCTGCATGCTGGTTACACAACCTCTGAGATCAATGTCCTCACACGAGCTCAACACCAAGACTAGTTTTTATCATACAAACAGAGAAATATTATCTGACCATATTTTGGTTAATTTATGTCGATTTCTGTCTTGCTATTATTTCGTGATCACTTTCACTTATGTCCTCTTTATTTTGTTACTTTATTTTGGAGAGGCCTCCATCAGTCTTATGCTGGCCTTTGGGACTCTGGTTAAATATTTCACATTCCTTTGTACAAAATGCTCCTCTGTTTTCTGCCGAATCCATTATCTTGGGAAGAAAAAAGTTGTAGTGTGAAAACATGATGGACTTTCCTACATTTGTGCATTCCTTATCTCCTCACATATGCTTTGCACATGCAACAGCTATTTGCCTCTAATCTAGATGGATACTAATGGTTGCAGACCCTGGACTGGAGGCTATTTTATGAAATTCAAGAGGAAGAGGGATGGGCTTTACCAGCACGGAGCTTATCTTCTATCTGACATGTTCAAAACTTCCAGCTGAGTCGTGTGTTACTCATGATAGCCGTTGTGCCCCCCATGGTCCATGGGGATGTAGTTAGGACTGAGCCAGATGCTCTTAGGGAGATGAGTCTTTGGAACTGGTTACTTTATCTGTAATTTTGCTTTGAAATGACAGTTTGTTATAACTTCTGTTATGACAGACCTAAAAGAACCTATTATTTCTGTTTAATGAAGCATCATTATCAAAACACAATGGAGACATAACTGATTGAAATAGTAGCTAGGAATTTGCTTGTTCCTCCTTTTCTTGAAAGATTTTTTTTCTTCCTGCAGATCTATGTGCAGAACTGTTTTAACTAAGTATCCAGTATTTCAGCTAAAAGCTATCTTTGTTTTAATGTTGATATCAAAACTTTCTAGTATGGAGCTGCTGTGTGACACTCGAAGATGAAAACTAACTCATATGGATGGAAATGGTAGCTAGCACTTCCTAGAGCAAGGACTGTGTGCTTCTTTCTTCAGCTAATAGGATGGCGAGACAAAGTGAGTGCAAGGGATTTTCAGCCAGATCAGGTTCTCTGCGGTAGGCAACTAGAGCTGCTAAGGCTGAGGGAAATGGCAAAAGCTATGTTGTATGGCTGGTGTTCACAGAGTGGATAGAAAGAACAAACCTAGAGACATTTCCATTAAGGACACTGGGGACCAAACTTGCAGTTTTGCAAGCAGGAAAAACAAGGAGTTCTTAGATTTTGCAAAATTTATTGCTTAAATCTTTGTCTCGTGCTGAAGGGAGGACGAAATACAATAACATGCATTACTTCTTTTCATTTCTGCATAACCTGTCATGAAACAATGTTTCTCTTCATGGTTCTTTCATCTCAACCATCACAGGGCAGATTTTGTGGATGGGTTGTAAATGCCTAACTTGCTAATATTTATTCACATTGCATAGTATCTTAGCCTGATTCATTCTAATAAGAGACTTGCTTACAAACATAATTTCTATCAAATTGTGACAGAAAAAGAAATAGAATTCAATTTATTCAGTTGAAATAGCAAATGTTACTTTAGAATTAATGCTGGAGTCTTGTCTGCTGCAAGATTTTGGAAGGTAAAATAGTTCATAGTAGATGTTTCCATACTTAGCTTTTCTGCTATACAATGTGGTCCATTATTTCATTTTTCACTGGTAAATTATTTCTGCTTTGTAGTTTAGAAATTAGTAGTGCAAGAAAGCGGTAAAAAATGAAGCTTGGAAACTTGACATCTCGGTGTGTTCCGAGAAGAGCACTAAAACATCAACTGATTTGCCAGCTATTAAGGCATAGCTGCAGATTTCCATTAACACATTGAACCAGCTCCGCTACAGCAGATGAAAGTCCCCTTCAAAAGAAGAAAGAAAAGATTCAGACTAGGTCACTGCCTAAACACAGGGGCTAAATTAAGTAGAACAGAAAGAAAATCACAGCTTCTTCCAGAAAGCTTACTACTCTGCATCACGTACTTCATTCACACCAGATTAATGCCAAATATTTCTTCATTTCTTGCTGTTTTTTCTGTTGTTTTCTAGAGGTATATTCTTGTACGAGTGATCAGGCTTTAGGAAGGAAATAATTTCTGTTGCCAGAGGTATAGAGAGCAGCAAATAAGAGAAGTAATTTAGGAGTTAGATTGTGTGCAAATATTCACTTGTTCAATTCTTTTGCTTTGTAATACTTGATTTTAGAGTCTGGGCCTTCATATCTGCGTTCTGGGTAGCTCCAAGAGGGCTTCCTGCTACGAGTGCACAACAGTGGCAAGCTGGGCACGTATTGGGGGCTGCAGTGACACCTATTGAGCAGCTCTGCTGCCATTGTACATCATAAGTGCCTGTCCTCCTCCCTGCTCTGTACAGTCCCACCTGGTTTCCTCAGCTTGGTGTGGGTGATGGAGTTGAGCCTTAACACTGATGCAACCTCCATGTTGGACCAGTATACAGCACAACTTATGGCTTATGGACACAAGCCTTATAGCAGCTCAAATAGCATGTGCCATTTGGCAACATGAGTCTCTGTGGATATGTGTGTTACGGATGGAAAGCTAGCTATTTTCCCATGAATTGGAGGCAAGCACAGGAACTGAGATGGGTAGAGGCCAGCCCACTCATGACAGTGGATTGAACATTCCCGCATAACTGAAACTGTGACAGGGATATTTTGACTTGGTGTCAAGGAGGAGTTTGTGCACAGGATGAAAATAACCATGAATGAGTTTATTTCTTAAAAATTGCTTGGAAAATAAAAGGAACAAGACAATGGACAAAGCACTCTCGATAAATCTGCATACACATCTGGAATTAATGTTCTGAATCCAATCTTTAGTTACATGGAGAGATGTGGTCCCTTTTCCTTGTAAGTGATTAGGGTCCTATATAATTCAGTGCTATCCTTTGGATGTTTGCACTGTTACATGTACTCTGCAGTAAGCCATTGTCACTCACCCCATGGTGAGGATAAAAATGTTGATCAGCTCCTCCTTTACTGTGCACTCTATCTTGTCAATGAGACAGAGATCCTGTTTAAGTTTAAACCCATCGCCCCTTGTCCTATTGCTACAGTCTCTGACAAAGGCATTAATTGATAGCAAGGCCCTTAACCTGTATGGACAAAGGGAAATGGCAGGAAAGGGTATAGGACATACACAACATTGTTAGGACATTATCAGAGGAAGCCCAAATAGGTGCTGTCTGCCTGATCTCAGATCTTGGCTTTTTCATGGATATCTGTGGCACAAACTTGTCCTTTCATTAGGTTATTCTTGTTCCTGTATTATTTTGGCAGATTAACTATCTATAAGTGTCTCTTACAATTTCTGTCTGCCAAGGCTAAGTAAGAATGAGGCTGCAAGGACACTTTTCTTACTGACATTCTGCCAGGTGAACTTTTAATAGGGTATCATAAAGAATGGGTTTCAGAGATTTTTTTTTTATTCTTCAAAAAGATTACAAGAATCATAGGAAACACTAGAAAGCTAAACATAATTTATCCCTACTGCCCCTATAATTTAGCTTTCCATGATAAGAAAGATGCTCAAAATAAGAGTTACTTTCAGATTCAGCTAAAAGTCATTAGATAATCTTGGTTTTATGTTCCTATATTTGTGCAACTTTGATACAGTCTGTTTATTCTCTGCAAATTTTTGAAACTCTTCTCTGTGCAAATATAGACAAGTCTTCAGTCAGCTCTTGTGCTGTATGCAGTCTGCTGTGGCAAGTATGCTACTCATCATTGATTGCAAAAATGAAGCAACACTAAAGCAAGAGGAATTAACTTTATAGTATCTTTTAGGCCTTTTTTGTCCACTTCTATATGTACTCTTTGTGTATATTAAAATACTGGCTGAAAAAGCTTAAGTACAGCTTAAGTTATAGGATGATGCTGCTGTTTCCCAGTGACAAATTACTTCTCAAATTACTGGTGTTTTTTTTTTTTTTTTTTTTTTTTTGTGTCAGGCACACAAGGGATAAACAACATTACTGGGGTTTTTTTTTTTTTTTTTTTAATGTCAAGGTAAAGCAGGATAAAACCCATTCAAAGTTAAAACCATAGGGTTATTTGCATGAGTCTGTATCTGGGTTTGCTTAGGTGTGGGAGTGAGTATAAGATTTTCAAATCTGACATGGTATGAGAACATACTGTCCTTGCTGAATTTTCCAGTCAAATGACAAAATTTGTTGGTTTCTAAATAATGCCTGGTAGTTCCTATTACTTTGCTATCCTTCAGTAAATCTTGGTTTGCAAAACAAACTGTTCTACTTTTCTTCTCCAATGACAAGTTTCCATCCTGAAAAAAGTTGATTGGGGTTTTTTTGGGTTTTTTGTTTGGTTGATTGTTTTTTTTTGTTGTTGTGGGGTTTTTTTAAGTGATGATTCGCTTATTTCCTTATATTTAGAACCCTTTCCTGTCTCTAAATAAACATACTGGAGTTCAGTTGCAGCTGATAGGTGAGTTTGTTCATTCCACATCTTGTATATGTTGAATAAACCCTAGAGACTCTCACTGGTTGAAGATGATGATAATTTTTCCTTTTCGGGAAAAAGACATGTTTCTCTATTGTCCAAAGAACTGGAAGGAATAAACATTTCTTCATTTGGCTTTTGATTCTTTCCCCAGACATAACTTTGAAGGGCAAGGGAAAACTGGTGTGAATGCAGTAAATCTAGTCCTTTCTGAAAGCATTACAGGGCTTCATGGTACCTGGGTAGGATTGTGATAGCTGCTAGTATCTGGAGTTTGTTCGCTGTGTGAAGGGATGTTAAGAGGGTGGCTGTCTCTTTCAGCACCTCCAGTCCCAGAACCCCCTCCTGCCTGGCTGCAGGTGCATACCTCATACCCAGGGTCTCCTCATAAGCTCAGGGATGTGAATGCTGCTTTCCCCTTTGCTGGTTCAGCTGGTAGCGAAGCTGAGCAGGTATCACAATGCCACATGCACAGGACACTGACACAGCTATCACACAAATTGCACAGGCAAGATGCTGCCTTCGACAGCACCCAAATGAGGACTCACATAAACATAGACAGCCAAGTCCTCTCCTCGTCAGCTGGCAGAGATGAGTGGTCACTAAGGAAGGTGCATATCCACACACTTACTCTGTTTTACATGTGAGTGGCCCCTTTTATACCCCTTTCATACCCCTTTATCTCTCTTCCTGCTTTGTTCCTCCTCTTACCCTAACCCTGCATAGTCTTTTATCAGATTGCAATAGTCCCACGAAACCCCCATCATCCTTATCAAGCTGCAAAATCCTGTTTGTCTTCAGTTTCTTGATAGCCCACCAGTTAGTGTGCCTGATGAGGTTTTTTGGTGGGTGGTTTGGCTGTTGGTTTTTTTTTTTTTCCATGATGTTTTCCTGTGTGGTTTGTGCCTTGTTTCTTATTCCTTTTTGCACTGAAAAAGTCATTGCCCAGATAGCTAAAAGGAGCAGACACTCTTGTTCGACACACCCTTAGAGGTTGTACTTGGACACATGCTAGCAAAGAGTGGCTATGAGGTCCTCCTGAACACAGCCTCTCAGGATTAGATACCAGAATCAAGAAACTGCTAGCTTCTCAATGTCACTAAAATTGGGAATTTTGAACATTTTTTTTCTGATCAAATAAAAATGCAGTTGGTCCATCAGTATGAAATAGTTAAGAAAATATCCTCCAAACAGGTCCTGGCTATAACAGGCCTGATGGTACAGTCATTAGAGAATATTTTTCTAGAAGTTAGTGGGAGTCTTTAGTGTCTTTCACAGGCCTTGGGAAGAAAGCCATGGATTCCTGGGAACTGTATGCAATTTAAATTAAAGCTAAGTTTTTCAGCAGTGTCAGTGTATCACCATGAGTCCTTTCAGACAGGGCCATAAGGAAAAAAAAACCTACTGTCCTTCTCCATCGTTGTATACATGTTATGCTATATATATATATATATATGTTTCTTTTTCAGTTGTGATATCTGTTACTGTAGTCTAAACACTCTCCTGTTTGTATTTTTCAGGTCAAAAGGTATGCTATGGTGACTTCAAGAGTTCTTGTTACAAGTTAGCTTATTTCCAGGACTTGTCTAGACGTGTGGGCTTTCAGGAGGCCCGCCAAGCTTGTGAATTTGATGGTGGGTCTTTACTGAGCTTGGAAAGTGAAGCTGAACAGCAACTAATAGAAAAGATGTTACAAAACCTCACTAAATCAGGCACTGGGATTTCTGATGGTGATTTCTGGATTGGGTTGTGGAGAAGCAGCGATGGACTAGCTACCTCAAGTGCTTGCCCTGACCTCTACCAGTGGGCTGATGGAAGTATTTCACCATTCAGGTAAGTCTGTAAAACGGCTTATTGAGAAGGTATCATGGAATGAAAGGGAGAGTGAAATGCCCAGTAAGTCAAGTCTTCTAGAAAGAAGCTTGAAGACTTGCTGCCCCATGAAGTTAGTAGCATCCCTCCTTAACTTCTCCAGGTAAAGGGGAGCTAGCAACCAGGGTTTTGAATTTGAAATGGTAAAAGTATGTCATAGTGTGGCTTCAGCCTACAATTCTCTTTACTCCCATCTCAAGTGTTTGCCTCTGTATGGCTTTTGGAGTTTTTTCAGTTACACACAGAATCTTCAGGATGTGGTCTGAAAGCAGGCAGACAAATTTTGCAAGACTGGACACCTTGAATCAGCAAGTCAGCCACCAAGTATATTTGTGCATGTTACTTAGTGTAAATTGTTCTGTTTCTACCCTGTATTTTGAAAAGCCTTTAATTCCCTGATTAAGCCAAAGGCCAGATTAGCAGCAGCTCACAGAGCTTGAGACAATGGGATAGGCGAGAGTCAGATAGGAAGGAAAACAGCTGAACAGTTATTTCTGGGTGTTATTTCTGCAGAGGTGCTTTGACTGGACAGAATTTTTGTTTTTAAGATCCAGAGATATGGAGCCCAGACCCTAAAGTCCTTTCACAGAGGAATTGTGGGAAATGCAGAATATCATGGAAGAGGATGGGGCCATTGGGGCTGACACATCTTCACTGATGTAAACTCCTTTCCTTTGTGTCCTGATGAACTTTACTGTCAAAATTTGGAAATTTGTCTTTGTGTACCACTAGAAATTGGTATACAGATGAACCTTCCTGTGGAAGTGAAGCCTGTGTTGTGATGTATCATCAGCCAACTGCAAACCCTGGTCTGGGAGGGCCATACCTTTATCAATGGAACGATGATAGATGTAACATGAAGCACAATTTTATCTGCAAGTATGGTCCAGGTAGGTGAAACTAAAGTTATATTTCACAGGTGGGACACTTTCTTAAGAAAGCAATTGCCTCTTTCGTGAGGGAATGTGCAAATGTCTTGTGGCCTGTGGTACTGATTCTTTTGGCATGCGGGTGCCTGAGCTAGCATTAACAGGGGATATAATATGTCAAATCTAGTGATAATTTAAACAAACCTATCTGAATCCAATCAGAATGTTTCAAGGTTAGCTTCACTATCATGCATTCCCAAATTTACTTTGACGTAACTCATTCACTAGTAATTTTATTCTCCACAGAGTGTTTTAAGTGGCCAATTTCTACTTCTCTTGCTCGCTAATAAGTAGGATGACCCAGACATTTTTTGGTCCTACTGTACAAAAAAAAAAATAAAATAAAAAAGTTACACTGTTCTTGTAGATACAGACTTTTGCCATTTTATACCAACTTATGTTTGGCTGTTTCAAAAAGTTTTGGCTTAAAGAGTGAAGTCTGAAACAACAGGAAGAAAATTCTGCATTCATGCATGTAGATTTATAGATATGAAAAGCAGATGCACACTAGTTCAGATGGTGGCAAAAAAAGCCAGATCTTAGGCAATTTGGCAATTTGGCTGTACTTGCAGACATGACATGAGCTCTGTATATGTCAGTAGAGGAAACATGAACTAGAAACTAGAACTTTATGCAAACAAACGGACCTGAAAAGTAAACTTTCAAGTTGGGCCTGAAATAATAGTTTCTACTTTTAGTGGTACTTACAGTAAATTAAAACATGTT